CGCTAAATACTTTGACCAATAATTACGGTTGTATTCATTGATTTCGTAATAAATTGCGTTTAAATCTTGTATTAATTTTTTGATATAAAAATATTTTTTTGTTTTAGATGTAAATGTCAAATGATTTTTAATTTTATTATTAATTGCTTTAATTTTTGATATCAAATAATAAGTGAGTATAAAGTAATAAATTGTTTGATAGACTACTATATTAAGAATATGTTTACTCCAAACACCAGAGTATAATGAATACGGGAAACCAATTATATAATAATAATTACCGGACATTACAAACAAGGAAAATGAGTATAAAAATGTAAACACCGGTCCAATATATACTAGTATCTTAGCTAAAATCATGAATTTATAATAAATGTCACAAAGTTTGCTAATTAATAACCGATCAGTTATCCCGATACAATTTGGTGGTATTACACCAGAAATCATTTGAAACACTTGTAAATCGGTTGGATAAATACCTTGCTTATAATTGTCATAATTAACTAATTGTGAACTAATTGCAAATATAGTTATTGATATTACTAGTATATTTGTTACACACCCGGTGCCCATTAGGTAGTCTACATTACCGAGACATACGTGTATTACAGCAGTTACATTAATGTTGTTGAGATACATGTAAGTGAATATCAAACATTTAACCAAAAATGTTAGTAATATAATGAATATGAGAATTGGATTATAAAATCGGCGTCTCTTATAGTCTCTGTTTTTCGGACTAAATAGGGATAACCCGATGCGGTAGAGGTGTATATCGGCCAACCCTACACGTAAACTGGGTGATACGGGTCTACTCATATGATCATCCATTTTATATTTTAAGTGTGATTTTTAGTATTAATATTATAAGGTTATTATTATTATTATTATGTTAAATTTCTTTTAGTTTATTGCTTAATATTTAACTAGAATTAATATGCGCTTACAAGTATTAAGATTGTTAGCACAAATGTTATATTTAATATTTAATTAATATTTATTTGATTTGATAAGCTCAATAACTTGTTTAATATTGCCATTAATAAGCTTATTAAACATATTTTTAAAAATAATTTTATACTTTGTTATTATTTGTTATTCAGATGTTGGCCCAAAATGTCAACACTTAGTTATAGAAATAATACTGACATAAACAATTTATTTAAATAAAAACATTTAAAATTCAAAATTTAACATTTACATTAATACAATCTACTGTACTGTAAGTACTGTAATACAATAGAAATAAATATTATCGATATCGTTATGAGACAATAAGTTTAAGTATTTAATTATGTTTTAATTATTATCGTACATAATTGAACTTAGTAATTATCATACATAAGTACACAGCACTGCAATTTTTGTATTTTATTAACTATGTTGCAATGAATATTTTCAGGGACACTATGAGATAATGACATTTGAAATTATAATTAAGCTCTAAAAATAATATTGTAACAAACAAAATTTACTATTGATAATTGTAACATGATGATTGAATAGTAAATAACAGAATTTATTATTTTATATACAAATTTTAAATATGAATATAAAATAATATTTATCTAATATTATATAATATTTATTTAAATAATATTTATATATTTATAATATTCATTTATTAATGATAAATATCATAATATTATTGACTTACTCAAATATTTTTAACGTATGTTTAAAAATCACTTACAAGCACATTAATTTGTACACTTCTAGTCATATCAATCATTTTAATATTATTTTGCGTTTCATAAATATTCATATTATGAAAATGAAAATTATGTTTTCAATACAAATCATAGTCACTTTTAAATCATAAAATACTAGTGTTTTGAATAAATAATAAGTTTACTAATATTATAAAACACTATTTTGGCGATTTTAACATTTTTGGACGTCTTTGGTTTGATAGGTCAGTGCCCGTAAAGTAGTTTAAACTACCAAGGTAGAGGTTGGATTGGACGACATTCACTACTAGAAATAATTTTAACTTTTACTGATATGACAATTTTACAACAAACTAGTTCACTTTATATAAAATAAAAATTAATATACAATTTTGTATTAATAGATATTAATAGAAAGAACAGATGGGTCAGGGACAATGGCTATGATTCATAGCCTATGAAGGTATAATTTATCTGGGAGGTGGGCCTGGATGATCAAAAACAAACGTGATGTACAGTGGCTCACCCTATGCTCCGGGCTATCAATAACGGCTTGTATGCGAACCTAAATTAATTTTGTACTTTAATTAAATGTAAATGTATTAATATTAGTACAAGTACGATATACTTATTAAAAAAGTAACTTGCTATTTCATAGTATATTTTGTGTTGCTTTTCAATATTGATGAAATGGGTGTGAATTATATAAAAATATTTTCAAAATAACTTGAAATACATTTTGTAACACATTATTATGCGGTGGTTAGTACGTTGATGAAATTAAGTTATTATCAAAGACATAATTTTATGTAATATAAATACAGGAGTAAACCTAAACCTGGTCTACAAAATAAGTTGAGAAATTTATAATTTATAGTTTTGAATGTTAATTTATCTTATGAATCTTTAAAATACAAGAATTTGTTTGATTAAAGTCACAATAATATCAATTGTTAATAAAATCATTAATATAAAATATTTTATTTAAATTATATTAGAGAACATAGACATTTTATTTGAAAAGTACTTTTGTACATTATTCGTTTCATTTACAAACTTATGTCTTACTAATCTTTAAAAATAATATCATTATCAACCCTATTATCTAAAACAATATATAATTAAAATTAGAAATTAATATAAATTTAATATCATTAATACTCACTTCATATCCACGGAATCGGTTTATGATAAATAGTTCCCAACAGTAAAAACCAATACTTTTTGTGCCAATCCTTTCGATAAGGACTAATAACTAAAAAATATTAACATTAAATTATTTTTTATCTCGAGAGAGAGAGAGAGAGAGAGAGAGAGAGAGAGATCAAAATATTTAAATTATTATCATGGCCATAATAATTTTAGATTTATATTTTAAGTAGAACTTATTTTCAAATTAAATAACTTTACAGTTTAAATTATTCGGTATAAAACAATATGCTCATAAATTATAAGTTATAATAAACGAGTTAATAAAAGTGAATATACCTTAAGTTGTTTACAAATATTTAGCGTTTTATTTGATTGAGAAATAAGTGAATTCAATAAATTATATGTATTCATGGTTTCCGTATAAAGTGTGGCCGATATATGGATTATGAATAATAATAGGGCAGAACATTGCACAGACATATTAAAAGATATTATCTTAATTACCAGGTTAACCCTACTAAATAGTAATAAATGTGAAAAATAACTTATCAGCAAGATAAATGTGACCCAAACAATCGCTAAATACTTAGACCAATAATTACAGTTATATTCATTGATTTCGTAATAAATTGCACTTAAATCGTGTGTTAATTTCTTGATATACAAATAATTTTTTGTTTTTGATGTAGATGTCAACTCAATTTTAATTTTATTATTAATTGCTCTAATTTTAGATATCAAATAATAGGTGAGTATAATGTAATAAACAGTTTGATAGATCATTATATTAGTAATATATTTGCCAATTATATTAAACACTAGAGTATAATGAATACGGGAAACCAATTATATAATAATAATTACCGGACATTACAAACAATGAAAATTAGTATAAAAATGTAAACACCGGCACAATATGTACTAGTATCTTAGCTAAAATCATGAATTTACAAAAAATGTCACAAAGTTTGCTAAATTTGCTGAAAATATATAGTTTTATTCATTTAATTATCCAAATTAACCAAAGTCATCAAGATATAATAAGCAAGTTCATTAATTCACGGTAACCGTGAGCCGGTTATTAGGTTGCCAACCTACCGGTGCTCACAATATGTATAGGAATAATAAAAAGTAACATTTTGCATTTTGTAAAA